AAATTGTAAAGATGATGATGATTAATAATAATAATAAAAAACTGGCTGTACGGGTCCCAGTGGTTATTGGAACACTGGATGCCCTATCAAAAAACCTTAAATAGCATTTAGGAAACCTGTGCATTGATAAAATTTCCATTTGCCAGTAACAAAAGGCCATACTGCTTGATCTGTACATATATTACGTTGATACATGCTAGGTTTTTGAGAACTCAATGCAAATGAAAGCCGGCATCAGCTATGGAACTGGCAGCTGTGATTTCACATTATGTATAATAATACGTTTTTATCTACCCATCTATTGCCAAATCAAGCTAGCAAATATACCTAACCCTCCTGCCTATTTTCCCAACAACAATCCTGTGGGGTGGGGTGGGTTTACAGAGAGGAATGAGCCGAAGTAGCCCAACCAGACTCCTAGTTTCTAGGCCAGCACATTCACCACTACACCAGCTCTTATATCCTGCTTTGCTTGCGTAGACCCTTTTAGGAATAAGCGTTGCAAACCTGATGCTAACGCATTACCAAGCCTTTTGGATTTACTCTGGGAGTTCTTATAGTAGTTACACTCAGTGGTTCTCAACCTTTTTAATGCCGCGACCCCAACCGGTCGTAGGTCGAGGACTAAACCGGTCGTAAGTCGAGGACTAAACCAGTCGTAAGTCGAGGACTACCCAACCGGTCGTAAGTCGAGGACTTTCCCTGCCCGGGAGCGCCGCACATGCGTGGTTCCGCCCCCTGCGCCGGCCGAGGCGTAGCTGGCAAGCAGCAGAGATGGAGCAGGCCAACCACCAGCTGGCCCAGCCCAAGGGAGGTAGGGCACCCGCCGGAAAAGGGGAAAAAATGGCGGACAAAAAAAATGGCGGACAGCCTTGCTTGGCGACCTCCGTGAAATGGTCGATCGACCCCAAATGGGGTCCCGACCCACAGGTTGAGAACCACTGAGTTACAGAGAAGGTAATTTCTCTTGTGAAATAAATAGTGACAGGACACAGCCTTGTCCCTTTCCTCTGTTGCCAACATATATATTATCTTGGCATTCTCATGAATGCTGTTTCAGCTCCAGTGGAACTAGAGACTGCCACCTGTCTGTGCTAGCTCTGTTTGAGGCAAAGGCTTCAGAAAATTTCCCTTCCAGCCAAGGATGATGTTTATGAAAGCTGCGATATATTTCAATCATTCCTAAAACGTAACATTATTTCTAGCTAAACACGTACCCCGTAACCACCGAAACAAGTAGTATCACTGTGGTTGGCATGAAGCTTAGAACAAAAATATTTTCAAGTGGAGCTGACCTCAGCTTGAATCTGGGATTCCAGGAAGAGTCCAAGCATCAAAACATAAACAGCAAGGAAGGAACAGTGGGTAGGAAGCAACAGCAATGCAATGCAATCTGCCAAATAATTTGTTCTTATGCCTTGAAAATACTGAATATGTGAAAAAAATTCAACTGTGCCTAAGGGCTTTGTTTTGTGCTTGTTAGCACAAAGTATTGCCAAATTTAAGCAGCAACATGACTGCAATTATGTTAGAAAGGGGGTGGTGGTGGATAATAATAGGAGGGAGATTGGTGTGAACAGAGATCTAGAGGCAGGTCATCTTGGTGGCTGCCCCACCAATATGGAACAGTTTAACTTCAGAGATCAGGATGGATCCCATATTGTCCTTTTTCCCTTTGGAAAATGGCAGATAGTTTCATTTTGCTGCTCCAGTGGGCTGCTTTCTTCCTGATTTTTTTTTTCATTTTATATTCCATGTGTTTTACCCTTTATGAAGATTACAAAACCTAGGGTTTTATGGGACTACTTGTTTTTATTGATTACAAATCATTGGAGCCTGGCAATACGGCAATCTATATAAATAAAAATGTAAATGTTCGTTTGTTCAAAATCTTAAATCTCCGAAAGTTCTTCACCGATTGTTTTGAAATTTTGACACAACATTGCATTTGAATACGTGCGTGTTTTTATATACCTATATTATATAGATGTCACACCTGTGACAGGTAAAAACATGATATATTACAAACTTGCGCTTTCTCTTTTCTTTCTTTTCCATTTAACCAGACTGAGCCACAGCAACGCGTGGCTGGGTACAGCTAGTAAATAAATAAAAGGGTAGGAGAGTTGTGATGAGTGTGAGGATCCCAGTTGGCTGCATCACAGAATTGAGAAAGTGCCACTTTGGACAGGATATAAGAAGAGTAACGCATGGAGAAATTGCATCTTTGCTCCACTTTCAGGCTGCATAAATCATAAAGTTTGATCAAATCAAAAGCATATCTACAGTATCTAACTATTCATCTATCTCGAATTCCCGTTTCTCCTGGTTGTTGGCTACAGCACCAAGGAAGGCTTTCCAAGACTGCTAATTCTCTCTCTCTCTCTCTCTCTCTCTCTCTCTCTCTCTCTCTCTCTCTCTCTCTCTCTCTCTCTCTCTCTCTCTCTCTCTCTCTCTGTGTGTGTGTGTGTGTGTGTGTGTGTGTGTGTGTGTGAGAGAGAGAGAGAGAGAGAGAGAGAGAGAGAGAGAGAGAGAGAGAGAGAGAGAGAGAAAGAGAGAGAGAGAGAGAGAGAGCACATGTTTGATGAGTATTATTTTATTATTCTCCTTCATTGGGAGTATTATTAACATTTCCTGCAATCAGTGCTTTTATCTAAGGTAGGGACCCTTGGGGATTCAAACTGGTCAGGCAGTAGGGAACAATCAGCAACTTACAGGAAAAAGATCAGCTGAGGACAGAGTTTGTCAGCCTGTGTTAGCTTGTGCCTTACCCCATTCTCAGCCAGGAAAGCTGAAGTGGTCATACACTTGCAGTCCTATCTTATATATTTTATTTATTTACATACAAATGAAGTCACTGCAGTCATTGAAGATTATGAGTAATCGTGGCCCACTGTGGTTTGTTAGATGATTTTTCACTTCCTAGTCCAGGGAGGAGAGACTAAGCCCAAACACAATCAGTTTTCATGTCTAGGGGAGGACTGGAACCTGAATCTTCTTGCTCCTATTCCAGTCCCTTAATCATTATAGAACAATGATTCTTATCCATACATACGAGTACGTACCTCTAAAAAAAACAATCTGTGTTTCAGATTGTTCAGCTTATTGTCTTCCGAAAACTTTGTACATCCAAACAGAAATTTAATTCTGTTATACTACGAGTAACAAATCTATTACAAACTGCACTTACTACAATAAGTTCTTTGGAGACCCAGTTGGTCTAGTAGTTAAGGCACCAGGCTAGAAACTGGGAGACTGACCCACTTTAGCCATGAAAGCCAGCTGGGTGACCTTGGGCCAGTCACTCTCTCTCAGCCCAACTCTCCTCACATGGTGGTTATTTTGGGGAAACAGGAAGGTGTGTTGGATATGTTCACTGCCTTGAGTTATTTGTAATAATAAAGGTGGGATACAAATAAATAATAAAAGCACTCCGATTTCATACTTTTCCTTCCATGTTAGCTCCCATTACCATAGAGCCACTGAAAGGACCAGTTCTGTTATGACCTACTCCAATGGTTGTCCAACCTGGAGAATTGATAATAAGGAAAGGAAGGATACTAGTGAGTATATATTTTGCAAAAGAAAAGAAAAGAAAAGAAAAGAAAAGAAAAGAAAAGAAAAGAAAAGAAAAGAAAAGAAAAGAAAAGAAAAGAAAAGAAGAAAATGGTGATGTTTGTATGTTACGCATGTTATTTCATTTTCTATTTAACTTCAAGGCAAGGAGATACTAATAGGACTCCTAAAGGTAAAAAAAATGGGATGGAATGGCCAAGATCATTCTATAAGAATAAAATGCACTAATGCATATCACAGATCATCCCTTCTGAATGATTAAATGCTGCAATTAATATTCAGTGAAATTAAAGCCATCCATTACGGACTAATTGTTACATTTTACTAATTACATCAAAAGCTCATTAAAGAAACCCTTTTTTATTTAAGATGGACAATCTGATGCAAAAAGATACAGTCCCCCCACCCAAAAAAGATGGTCTACCGAGTTGGAAAGACAACAGAGATATCAGGGACAAATATTTAGGAATAAAAAAAGCTGTTCATTAAAAGCAAAAGCTTGAATTTCAGATTATTTATTCACGCTCAGCAGGTGGGAGATACAAATATAACCAATCTACTCCTTTGCACATCTCTAAGATGATATTCCTGTTTTCTCCAAGTTGATATCCTAGGAATTCTGGCAATGATATTCCTGGTATAACTTTAATGGATGGTGGCAAGTCTACTGTGTAGACAATTTAAAAAGTGAAGAAAGAATACCAAAAAATGGAAAATATAGGTACAGACTTGACAGTCTTGTATGGTTGATATGGCTGATTCAAAAAAGCATCTAACGTGTTAGTTCATTCATTATTTCGACTGACAGTTTTAAAAAGGGCCAGCAAATGTGTAAAAAAAAAATCTGCATTCAGCATAGAAAGCATTAGTTTTTAAAGAATCCACAATGAGCCACATGATCAAACCATAATGCTAATTATCCCTATACTCATGTTGGACACTGTGGCTCACATTTAGTAAGCTGAGTCTTAGACCTGGGACACTTATATTTGCCTTCATTCTTGAGTCTTAGAAAATTAAAGGTCTACAGTTTGAGACTCGAGTGTCACAAGATGAAGTGATCTCCTGTCACTTGCCCCAGCTCCTAGCAGTTCGAAAGCATGCCAATGCAATTAAATAGGTACTACGTATAAGCATGTGGGAAGGTAACCACATTTTGTGTTTTGCCATACAATCTGTGTTGCGGCATAATGTCACACTGGCCACATGACTATGGAAACATCTCCAGACAACACTGGCTCTTTGGCTTAAGAAATGGAGATGAGCACTGCTCATTAGAGTTGCTCACGATTAGCAAGGTAAAACCCAAAGAGACTCCTTTACCTTAACTTTATTTTCACGTGCAAGAATAGACTTACACCTCATATAGGAAATTAAAAGCCACAAAATGAAGTGCTTATGTTTGGAAATGGAATTATTTTTACCTCTACAGCATGAGTTTCCGTATTAATTATAAATATCTGTCCACCAGAAGCAGCCCAGATGGTTTCCTCCATCACAAGAAGACCTCTGACAGGAAGAACTCCCAATTTCACTATTTTCTGTGGTTCTGAGTTCCAGGTCCCATCTTTTGCAAAAAGAAATGAAAGAAATTTAATGGTGTGGTTGTTTTAAAAATCACTTCATTTATATAATAATTACTTTGATATACTTATTAATGATAAAATATTCTTGCCTCAAAATGGATTTTTCCTACCTTTTGTTCTATTCCAAAACCATTTTTGACCAAAGTTTACAGCCAGAGGGTGGGTATTTAAAAGAATCGTATACATGTTTATTTTGGATGTTTTTTCCATTGGTTCTGTTTTAAAATGTTTTTATTGTTTAAATTATGGTATAATTTTGAATTGTAAGCTGCCCAGAGTCACTGACTGAGATGGGTGGCTACAGACAATGAATGAATGAATGAATGAATGAATGAACGAACGAACGAACGAACGAACGAACGAATGAGTCTTTAAACCCTTACAGAGGTATTGGCCACCCTTGCATGTCAGGGAGAAACCTATACAAGGATATTTTTCAAATATTACAAGAGGAAGTGAACTGGATTGTTAAAAACAAAATCTATTGTCACGTATTAGCATTTTAATTCCAATGCTTCATTTTATAATTGGAAATATTCCACTAATTGCCAACCTTCCTCTCAACATTTGACAGCTCTCTTTGCACAACAGTCACAACACAAAGAGAAAACAGGAGTTCAAAGTTATATAAAGCTAATTCTGGACAGTAACTCAGGATTTGTCATGAATTCCATTTAATTAAATATAATAACCTTCTCTTTGCCCTCCAGCAATGGAGAAGAGTTCTCTTCTGTTTGCTTTAGCTAGTATTCATCTTACTACTCAATAGCTTCCTTATTTTCTCTATTGTGTAGCATCACTGGCATTTCTACAGAGCTGCTAAATTGGCCCTGTGAGCAGAGATTGTTAATTGAGTAGTGCAATGGTGCATAAACAATAAGATAAATGATTACATACTGGCTCGTTTTTATCTCAGCAGAGCAAGACTAAAAATACTTAGCAATAGTTAAAAGGAATTCAGTTTTAACACTTTTGAAATTAATATTTACTTCAGTGATTATTCAGAATTACAGCTCTCATCAACAATTGAAGGGATCCATATATAGTTAGAGCAAAACAAAAACTTTTCATGATATTATCATTACTGCAATTCCTCCTTAGGAAAAGACAGAACCTTATTCAGTATTTTAATTCTTCAACTGACATAGGTAGTTGGATAATAATCAATTGAGTTGTATTTATTTATTATTACGTCTCTATGCTGGCCATTTCACCAAGGTGACCCTAGGCAGCTTAAAGTCATATAATTAAAATACAATATAAAACCTTAAAAGAATAAATAAAAACCAGACATTTAACAGTCAGTTAAAATTCAATAGTATTTGCCTCTTTCACCACTACAGTTCTCTCTGAAATATTAGGCCAGATTTAACCAGATCATTTTACTGAATTCTGAATAGTAAACAGTGCCCAGTTCAAGATGTCAATACTAATCTATAAAGCTCTAAAGAACTTGGGATACATGAACCTGCCCCAAACATACAAAATAACATCTAAAAAGTAATTATCTCTACCTGGACAAATGAGATTGATGAACTCTAAAAGTGACAGAGACTTTTTGACAGAAGTGCCCCGAGTCTACAATGTTTCCAACTGAGATCAAACTAGCCTTCCTCAGAGTTTGTGCTCCAGATGACCAAGACTGCATTGTCAAGTTGAAATTCTAATGGTCTTTAAAGTTATTTTCTGGTCTCATGATGACAAATGCTTTCTTCCTGCCATTTTTAGGGTGTAAGATTGTTAACTTTTCTTTTAATTGATACAAAATACCTGAATTTTGTACATTGCCTCGAATGCCATTGGAAGATGATTTATAAATAATGTCACATCAATAAATGAACTGGAGGTATCACCGGAATAAGGATCATGGAATCTCTCCCTCTGAATCAAATATAAGGGCTTTCTGGGCAGGACATTAAAGACTGACCAGATGATTTTCTCCTGTACCATGGGAGCAGCTGAAATATAACACATGAGCTCTCTGAATGTGAGTGTTAAGTAGCATTAGAGGCTGAGAGAAATATATCTGCATTTCATTTTTTTTTCTGCTGCTGATACTTACACAAAACTGGCAATGCCAGGAATTATTGGCAAACTTGGATGAAAAAATATTTTGAACTGCAGAGTTAAGTGGTGCAACTTGGATTCTCCAATATCAACTTGTACCAATTATTACTGGATCAAATCCTCTGTCCCAGCCTTTATTATACATCTGACAAAATAGGTCAGCATTTCATTAAGCTGCTTCTTCAGCATGATTGGAAAAGCAGCTTGAGACAAAAAAGATTATAGTTACAAACTGGGAGAAAGAGAGAGATTTCTTTTTGCAATCACAGAGTAAGGAATAATTTTGTAATTCCGCTTAAATTTGCTGCCAAGGAAATTGGAAGCTTCTTTTTATTTAATTTTAGTTTTTCTTTTCCTCCCCTCCCTGCCTCCCTTTTTATTATGACTGTTTCTTTTATGCTATTTTAACTTTTGATTGAGAGCAGCTCAAAACTGGTTATCAGATAAGCAGCTATATAAATGTTTTAAATAAATATAGTTTGTGTTAGTTTGTAATGTTCTTTGTAAAACTTTTTTGATAAAAATATTTCTAAAATGTTACAAACAGAGAGGAAGCAAATGTTTATCTGGGAAGAAAGGAACACAGAGACCACTGTATGTGCTTTCTTTAGACATAAAAAGAGCCACAATCACAGCAACCCTAAAGGACATTGCAAACTCTGCTGAACACAGAGCTGCATTAAAGAGAGTCCATCCCTATGTAATGGATGTGCTTTGATCTCTCTTCTTAATATACACCCAGCTATTTGTGACATAAAAAAGAAGTTTTAAATATATGTTGCTGATAACTGGCTCTGCATTATTTGCAAAAAAATATACCATCCTACTATTAAGAATATTGAGAAGTTCAACATCCAAAATAAAATTAACAGAATTGAATCAAGTACTTGGAAATCTATGTCCTGTCTAAGATGACAATGTATCAGGCGGGTGTTTCACTATTTGTAATCTTTACTATTTGTAATCTGCATAAAGAAACAAGAACTGCACATGTGTTTGTAAGATGCAGAGGCTGAGGGAATCAAAATTTAACCCTTTCTCCCTAAACAACCAAGATAGTTCATAATTTTAAACCTCACGTTATACTGAAGCTCATTATTGCAATAGAAGACAATATTTGTAGCTCGTGGTTAAATTGTAGAATTCTTGGTGCTCTCTGGTGTGGTTGTTTGCTTTGCAGACATTTGATTGCCCAAGTTGGATTCACCCTGATGAAGTTAGCTAATTGGGTAATGAAATGCCTGAAAGCAATTAACCACACTCATAGGGCACCAAGGAACTCCACTGATCATTATTTTGATTTAAATGAATTAAAAGATAGCAAAGAGGAGTAAATGAGGAGCCTCGTTTTTAACAAGTATATACTAGACCAGGGATCCCCAACCCCTGGGCCACGACCCACCACCAGGCAGTGTAAGGGATGGGTGAGCATGCACACACGCACGTGCAGCTCCACTTGCATTAGCGATGGGCGCTCACACTTGAAGTTCCATTTCTACAAGCTGTGGGCGTGCCCGCTGCTCACACAAATGGAGCTGCACGAGTTCATACACATGCTTGCCACTCACACAGAACCATCCCCTCTTCCCCCTCTGCCAAGCCAGAAAGGTTGGGGACCGCTGTACTAGACCACTTTGAGGAGATCAATACATGGAACAGGACAGACTATGGTGTAAACATTTAAATGTACGTTATTTTTCAATTAATACTACAATAAATACTTTAAAGATAGTGTGTGCGGGCATGCGCAAGATGTAGCCATAAAGGCCATTTTATGTTATATCTTAAAACATATATTCATGCCACCTCTTAGAAAGATTTGGAATTAATTCCTTATGAACTAAACATGCAGTATCTTCAGTAGACTTCCCCATCCTACTGCTCTTCAGCTGTGAAAAGGCTGCAGTTCCCCTAATTTTCAGGAGTAAAAGACTTACAAGAAATGAGCCAGCACACCCGAATTCTCCTCAATTAGAAAAGACCATTGGAACAGTTAAATTACTGGAAAAATTGCAATTAGGAATGACAATATATGTAGCTGGCCCAGGAACCTGTTTCTAATGTAAGAGTTCCTATTTCCAATCTGCATGGAAAAATTGAAACGTGTATTGCTTATGAAATTACAGACTAAGCAGATTTTTCAAACCTATATGCAATTTCTGATGACCACTGATGCCAACAGCAATGAAAATGTGAATATGAAGTTAGGAGGGGAAAAAAAAGAACCATAGTAATGGAATCTGTGTCTATAAACACTGCAACTATGAAACCCTTCTGGATATCCCATAACATTCCTATACCTTCCAATTTGGAGTAGATTGCAATGTTTCCATTGACTAGGCCAGCAAATAAATGGTGAGTCTTGTATGCTAAGCTCATCACAGTAGACTTCTCGGGAGCAAAGAAGTGTTGTAGACGGACTTTCTTGGATCCTTGACTACTTTTGTAAACCGAAATGCTATTTAAGAAGAACAGGAAATATTTTAAAAATCACGATATAAAAATAATAAAAGAAAACGGATTCAACATTACATTCAAGAATTTCTTCCTTTCTATGCTTTTTTACTCTTTCTTTTTTGTAACACCTAATGCATACCCATATACAGTACATGTGACAGCATTGATGTTCTGCATGGCCAAACTTCATGGTATATATTGTCCATATTAGATGAAACAAAACAAATGCATATTATATGTGACTATTTTAGACACAGTCTAAAAGTAACATTATTTTAGAATTTATAATCCAAACCCAAATCTAGTAACACTGAAGTCAATCTACAAACTCTATATTTCTATACTATTTCATAATTTATGAGGAGAGAATTTGTCAGCTACAAAACACAGTGTATACTTTCCGAAACACTTACACAGAGAGACTGGGGAAAAACAGAGGGAATCGTACATTTCTTCTAATGCAAGAAAAAGAATACTTCCCACTTGAAAGAGAATATTTTCTTTATCATGCAGAATTTTCAATACCTAAACCTGCATCTCATATATCTTAGGCTTTTAAATATTACTTCTTTTTTGTTGGCCTACAGTACTACTGGAACCATGATGCATAGAATTATTGAAAGAAGGAGAATGAGAGGGTGAAAGATTGACCATCAGACCTAAAACATTTCATCAAGTTTAAGGCCATATTACTACAGAATACTCAATACGTTTGCCTTAATTTATTAGTGGCAAATGACCACAAAAATACTATTTATTTTAGTTCTGAATACACCCCATTGCTTGCAAAGAATGGGAAATCATCCTCATTTGTTTAAATGCAACGTAACTTTTCCTATAGGGATGTGCAGAGTTTTAAATAAATTAGATCTTTCAAAATAACTATGATTAGATTTGGCCATTTGCCAGAAATATGTGATTTGGTGCAGCATTATATTTTTATATATCTCTCTGTGTCATATAGAACTAAATAATCCATAGAAATGAAGCACAAACATTAAAAATACCTTCCTTCTTCCATGCCTAGACAAATAGTAGGCACATTGAAAGGTTTTGTAGGCATGTCTCCAGATTCAGGAAACATATTATTTGATTCTTTGGATTCCTCCTCTTCTGGAATGTAGACCATACAGAGAATTCTTGACTCCACATTGAAGCATTCAATAAGCTTTGGACTGGAGTTTTGAAATGATACAATGGCGATTTGGCCCATCTGATTAGTACAACTGCCAATCTGTATTATAGAGAAAAGTTTTACTCTGCTTCATAAGCAATATCTCTTTAACCAATAACATACATGGCAAAGTTCATTAGAAAAGAAATCATTAAGTTTTAAGCGTAATGATTTCTTAATGAAACTACTTTAAATTAAGTAGTTTCTAGAAACTGGACATTAAAAGAAATTAATAATACTACATGCCTAACTTACTGACTGAAAATATGGGAGGAGGGGGGGGGGAATTCACGTGCTAACCAAAGTTTTGTTCCCTAAAAAAATTATTTATTTCTTTAATAGCATTATGTACTACAAATATATACACACATATATGTTTAGCATACAAGAATTTGTGATAGTTCTAGGTTTTATTTGTTAATCCTACAATAGACGTAATTCTACAATGGATTACATTGCCAACAGAAAAACTGATGATGACCAGGTTTTAGGAAATTATTACTTTACATGAGTTCTGCTGTTAAATATATTTCATACCTCTGTTAAGATTAAAAAAATCTCTCTCTCCCCGTTCAAAACAGTGTACAAGATAACAAGTGATGATTTGCAAAAAGTCATATAGAGCGATATGAGGCACAGAAATCAACTTCAGGCCACAAAATACACTGTTGCATAATGTCAAAGGATCCACCCATACTCGTAACTTTTTTGTTAATATTGAATGTCAAGGGTCATGTTAGATAAGATACTGGGAAATCATTCTCTACCCTTAATTTTTATAAGCGTTTAGAATGGTTTTGATATGCTGATTGCACATTATGTAGTAGAATGATGCTTAAATCTTTCCTCACCTGGCTGTGCCTCCCATTCTAACAATTTCCAAGTTTTCTCCGGAGCTCTTTCCGAATATAACCCTTTTGATAGGACGACGTAAGTACGTGATTTGTAGTGGACAGGAAATAAGTTAAAAGTAGAATTTTTTCGATTTTGGTTTACTCGTCTGAAAAAAAAAATTTCTTGTGTCAGTAGTCATACAATAGGTCGAACCATATAGAGATAGAGATAAAAAAAAAAGAAAAATGTACCCTGTAATTCCTTTTTGTCATGGTGGAGTCAGGGCGACTGAATGGAGCTGAGCGTTTATGAGCCAGATGCCCTTCCTGATGCCTATGCGGAGTTCAGAGTAGATATTTTCTCTTTGCATCCTGATAAGAGAAACATTTGAACTCTCAATCTTCCAAGTGGGAGGCGAGCGTCCTCACCTATAGGCCACCATGCCTCTTATCTATATCTATATCTACATCTATATCATTGTAAAACTGAATTTGCAAAAGAGAATTAATTTTTGGACTATTGTTCCATTCTCTATAAATGCTATTATGTGAACTTTGAAAAAAATTAAATCCTTACCCACAGAAACCCATACTCCGTAGAAAGAGAATCAGGATCACTTTCTTCACATAAACAAGGTTCAGGATTATAAGCAGCACATTCAACCTTAACCCACAAAATAAAGATCGTTAGTAAACATCTTAGATATTTATTATAGCAATAAATAAATAAATGATAATGCTTTTCTGGCCCAGTGCTAGTAAAACTGAAGCAAATGAGTAAAAGAAAAACAATTTCTATTTTACCACCTCATGTCACACTCTTAAATCTCATTCAGAAATTTGAGGAGCCTTCAGTGAACTAAAATTACATGAGACATTTCAGATGAAAGGAAAAGGCATGGTACATGAGCAAAAATCAGCTTGTATGTATGTCAGACTTGGGTCTGACATTAAATGCAAATGTATACTATTAACCACTTTTTCTATCTAGCAGTTTTTATGATCTATGTGTCAACGCTGCAAATACTGTATATTCTTGCTTTGACAATATGCAGAACTGTCTGGTATTTTTATAGTTAAACCAGGGAAAAAGGGAGGAGAATAAGGATAGCCCGGGAAAAAGAAACCGGAAGTAAATCACATCTTCCAAGTTGATTGGAAGATGTGAACCATGACCCCAAAATAAGGGGGGGGGGGGAAATGCTTAGAATGTATATGCGTAACGGAAGAGAAGCCAGACCTAAGCATTTCCTCAATGCTGTACTGACGTCTCTGTAACCTTAATAAATGCTTTTAGGAAAAAATATGCCTGAAAGTCCTTTTAAGTGTTTCGTTAATCAGACACATGACATCATGTCAATTTTGGAGGGTGACATTAAATAAGCTACTAGAAAATGCTTTCAGTCCAAATAACAAAGAGGAAATAAACTTAACTTTAGGTAAAGTACATATTAGCCCATGCAAGTTTCAATATGTGCATTAGCTATTTAGCAAACTAAATTGATGATCTTTACCTTAAATTCCTGCTGTTTGGCCATCATCACAG